GACTCGCAGGATACTATAGACGATTCATAAATAATTTTGCAAAAATTGCAAAACCTTTAACGAGGTTACTGCAAAAAGACACTAAATTTTCCTGGAACACGGAACAGCAAGACGCTTTCGTAAAACTCAAGGAAATATTATGCAGCGCACCCATTCTACAGTATCCACAATTCGAGAAACCATACGTTATTATGACAGACGCATCTAAATACGCTCTGGGTGCAGTATTATCACAAGGAGAAATCGGGAAAGATAAACCAATTGCATACGCATCACGAGTATTGCAAGAAGCCGAAATTAAATACGACACCTACGAAAAAGAAGCTCTAGCAATAATGTTCGCGATAAAAACATTCCGAAACTACATTTACGGGAATAAATTTACAATAGTTACAGATCATAAACCATTACTTTGGCTAAAAACAGCTGACAATAATACTAGAGTACAAAAATGGAGATTAAAATTATCGGACTATGAATACAATATAGTATATAAACCGGGTAAGCAAAACGTGAACGCCGACGCATTATCGAGAAATCCGGTGGACAACGTACACATTTCCGTTACAACAAGAGCGCAAGGAAAGAAAGAAATCAGCGAAAAATCGACACCCGTAAAAATTCCAAGTCAAAATAAAGTAGAAGCCCCAAACGACAATCATACCAAAATCAAAAGAGGAAGGGGTAGACCAAGGAAAAAGATCCAGGAACCGTTAGACCAAGAGGCAACTTCGAATAGCAACAATAAGGGAAGAACGACTAAACACAAGAAACAGGAAAATAAAGAAAAAAAAGACAATATAGAAGAACAGGAACAAAAAAATCTAATTTACTCAAAAAACTCGATTCAATTTAGAAACGATAACATCGTACAAATAATTACTCAACAAGGCATACCTCTAGACAAAAACACCAACGCGCTAATGGAAATCAAGAACATAAAAATAAACCCCAAATTGTCCGAAAACGAAGTTGAATTAATAAAAGTAAATAATAAAAAACTCTTTATCTTATGCTTAAACGTAGCAGCATCATCGGAGATAATAAAACAAAATTTGATAAAATTATTTAATACATTAAAAGATTTACTTATACGGAAAAATATAAAAATCTTCAGCATTTCAAAAGACATTAAAATACTAAATATAAACTGGCACGAAATAGAGGAAATATTAAAAAACACCTTCAATAAAACAAACATTAAAATAATAATATGCTTAAACAGTATCGAATACGTAGAACCTGAAAACAGAGATAAAATATTTGACCAACTCCACTCTACAAAACTAGGAGGTCACTCAGGCGTAAATAGAACATATAATAGAATAAAAGACAAATTCTTTTGGGAAAATCTAAAACAAGATATTCAAAACAGAATAAAAAAGTGCGAGGAATGCCAAAGAAATAAATTAAAAAGAGTTAAAACTAGACAACCGATGGTTATAACGGATACACCAGTAAAAACTTTCGATAAAATCGCGATGGACATAGTCGGCCCACTCAACGTTACAAAAAATAATAATAAATACATCTTAACAATACAAGACCAATTATCGAAATTTTTAGTAGCAGTATCTTTAAAAGATCAGACAGCAGAATCAGTCGCAGATGCTTTTGTAAAAAAATTTATATGCACTTTTGGCTCACCTAAAATAGTACTTACAGATAGAGGAACAAATTTCACTAGCAAAATTATGAAACAAGTTGCAAAAAGATTTAAATTCTCAAAAATCGAAACAACATCCTTTTCACCGCAATCAAACGGATCATTAGAAAGGGCACACCATCCACTTTGCGAATATTTAAAAAATTTTTCAACAAAAAAATGTGAATGGGATGAACTTCTAGAGCTAGCACAATTCAACTACAACACAAGCATCCATTCCAGTCACAAATTCACACCGCATGAACTGGTTTTCGCTTATCCAGCTAGGCTACCTTCGATTGAACCTCTAAAGAGATCAGAACAACTACCTACACATAACGATTATTTGGAAAACCTGATAAAAAACATGAGAGATATAGCTAGTATGGCACGCGAAAATCTAATAGACACAAAAATGAAATCAAAAGAATACTACGATAGATTCATTAAATCGGTAGAATTTAAAACCGGAGACAAAGTATGGTTACTCAAGGAACCCAAACCGGGAAAATTAGAAAAAGATTGGTACTTAGGGCCATACGAAATACTAAAAATAGGGGATAACAATAACATAACAATCAATTACAAAGGAAAGCCAAAAACAGTTCACGCGAACAAACTAAGCATTTAACAGCACAGGAAATAACATAAGCCTTCTTTCTAGGAAAGAGCCGACAATGAAGTTAATTCTATTAATTTATATCAGCACATTCAAAATTAGCCAAGCAATAATCGGATTCGATTGCGGCGCAACCAACCCGATCGTATCGACATACTCTTTACTGGACACCGGGGAATGCGACTTCCACCATGCAGACGTCAGCATAACCAATACCACAATATGGCTACTACAATTAGCGGAATTCAGAACGGTCCCAATCATACAATGTAAAATAGAGATCCAACGCACAATCTTTCGATGCGGAATGTTCAGCCACTTAGTACCAGTAGAAAACGCGATACAAGAATACCTTCTAGACATAAGCCATGAAAACTGTAAATCCATACATAATACCGGAATATTTAGATACGACAACTTTCATACAATCGCGAATCTAAAAATAAACTCCACAAAATCCGTAGGAATAAGTCTCGCGGGAAACGCAATAGAAAGCTCATGTACAGGAGCGTCCTATTCCGATAGCTACGGAACATGGAATAAAGTATATGTACAGGGCCTTATAAAGATTACGCTAATAGAATACACCGCGCAAGTTAGTCTTAATAACGATAAATTACGCTTAGCATCGGGAACAGTTTGTAAATTTTCGGATGAACATTGTATCGACATGGAAGGAGGACATACCTTCTGGTCAGCGTTACCGAGAGAGGACTGTTTTAAAACTAAATACGATGTATTATACCGAGGTCCGGTAACAAAACTAACATCTAACAATCGCGAAACATTATACACAATAGAAACAACCGACATCTCATTCGCTCTAGCAGCGAAAGGAGATATCAAAACTTGCAACAGAATACTAACGAAAACCGAACACCCAAAATTAATTATATACGAAAGAACACGAAACAATATACTATTCGATAATGACGTACAACCGTCAAAAGAAATATTAAACCTAGACATTCTCACATACACTAACTCAAAATTCGTATACGTAGAAAAACACTTCAGGGCTCAGATACAAAATTTATACTTAGACATTCTAAACGAAAGATGCAAACTAGAAAAAAGAACAATCTATAATTCCCTATCCATAGCCTCTATTTCACCAGACGAATTTGCGTATAACCTAATGGAAAAACCGGGATACATTGTTAGGATCGCAGGGGAGGTGGTACACATCATAAAATGCACGCCAAAAGAAGTGCAATTACTTCACACGGACAAATGCTACACACAGTTACCAGTAACCTCCGGGAACCAAACACGATTTCTAACACCCAAAACACACATACTAATGAAATCAGGAACCCAGATAGAATGTAACACAATTATTCCACAATATTACAAACTAAACAAACCTAACCCAGGAGTTCCAAAACCCAGGAGTTCTAAAACCTAATACAAATATTTCCTGGGAATACAAAGAAATAAATTCATTAGCATCAAGCGGAATTTATTCACAAGAAGACCTCCAAGAACTCCAACAGCACATTATGTTCCCCCTAGAAAAATCAGCCTTGCTGAACACAATAGCGAGGGGCATGCTAGGAGAAGAAAGCGTACAAGGAGGATTAATCAATAATCTTTTTACAGAGAACACGCTATCTCATATCGCAGAAAATACGTGGAATAAATTCGTGGAAAAATTCATCAAATTTGGTTCAATTAGTTCGGCAGTAATAATGATTCTCATAATCATTCATATCTGCAAGCTAATAATTGACACCATTATAAGGGGATATACGCTACATACACTATATGGATGGTCCATACAGTTACTGGGAGCCATCTTCAGCTCAATCACATATTTACTGGTGACGTTAAAGAACAACAAAAACACAAAAAAACTTCCAAGGGAAAGACATCTAACTAGAAACGAGGACATCGAATTAAAGGAAATAAAAATAGAACAACCAAACACTTTGAAATGGAGAACGCTATCACCCGTCCCACTACGACCACCTACGGTTAAACCACCGGTACCACAACCAATAAAGCAAAAGCAGATACAAGTCTTTACACTAGAAGAACTAAACTAAAATCTCGGAATTTGGGAAAGAAGACAGGAACACGTATAAATGAATACAAACAAGGTCAAAATAAAAAGAAAAGAAGGTTTATTCAAGGAAACAATAAAAACATATATATAGCCGTAGCAACATTAAAAAGACAAAAAGAGATATATATATAATAGTAAAACATAATAATAAAACATGATAAGATAATAATACATAATAAGATAATAAAACATGATAAGATAATAATACATAATAAGATAATAAAACATAATAATAAAACATAACAAGAAGAATATATAAACTTAAGGCTAAATTTGGGATGTACAAGTATCAGGTTCCCCCTCTTTTTCCGGGCAGGGCAGCGCCGCCGGCCTCTCCTCGAAAAGGGGGGCAATTTCGAGGACGCGGTCCTCATCCCAGTCCAAAAGGTCGTTGAGATATCCGCGATAATCCCTTCTCAACCGCTGCACAGCCAGGCGATATTTGACATTTATATGACCACGGTATAGGGTATATACCCCGTTCGCGCGCTGCAATGGAATACACCACAATAGAAAAAAAAAAAAAAAAAAGGGGGGGGGAAGACCACCACGTACCCAAGAGCGGACCACGTCCCGGACTGGAGGAAACAAATCCATAATATATTCGATAACTGGACGAAGTGCAAGGAAGAGAATTACAAAGTGACGACCCTACTCACCAAACAAGACTATATACCAAACACTCCACCAAGCGTACGGGGTTCCGAAGAACCACAAGACGCAGAGCACCTGACAACACCCAGAACCAGCGCATTCGAGACATCCGCTGTCTCAGCGCATACCTCCCGCAATAGACGACCTAACAAACACCAGCTCCATTCTAAAAAGATTCAAATTCTAAAATTTAATAACAAAACAAGCCCAGAAGTGTCGGTCTACGACATTATTCAGCACACGCACCATGACTCTGTTGAGCGCCCCTATCGCCAATCTCAGCGGGAAGGGAAGTAAATGGTCATCCGAAAACCATTTACTCTTTGTAACACACCGATCCGCAAAGTACAAGGCACCCAGCACAACGAATTTATGTCAATTAACAAATATAGTAGCTACACATACCTCAAAATTGTAAAATGCACTTAACGCATGGAAACACAAACTACGAATTCGGATAACACAATGGCTTAAGTGAAATAATATTTTTTTTTTCTCTCCTCTCTTTTCTCTTCCAAATTTACTTGTTGATATCGTACCGATATGCAACAATCTAGGCGGCCAGGTGTCACGTCCTGTGACGCATTCTTGGAACCCTTATTTCGCCATCCACATTCTTTAAACTCTTATTTCATTATCCGAATTCATAGTTCCGGAAAGTCTGAGTGAGCAGCTCGTTCGGGCCAACGTATCGCAAGAACGCTGACAATCCGAGCGAGGTGGTTCACTCGAACTGACAACCAAACGATTGACCTCGCTCATCAATATATAATAACGCGACCAAGCCCGCTCGCGACAGACCCAATATCGCGCAGAACCAGTACGGAACCCGTGTAGACAGAACAGTATAATTTTTATCAACCCCAGAATTTGTAGTGATCAGATCACCTAAGCGATCCGCGAAAGCTGTTCGGAATCGGCCAGTTCGTCTAGCGAAAATCCGAGATACCAATTCTAAGACGCGCACCTAAATCCGCGAAATACGACTCTGCTACGGAACTCGGGGATCCGACAGAGCAACCTCGTTCGTAAAGCGCGCGCAAGTTAAAGGTTGTACTCGAACCAAATAAACATTTGTTGTGATCAGAAGTGCGTGAAACTCAATTAGACCATCTACCCTACCGACTCCACTAACCAAGACGACTCATCTCTACAGGTATCCGCGCCCAGCGAAAGGTAAGTAAGAACCCCTACCTAATCAGTAGCTTAGAGATAATTATACAAGTGCGCAGAGGACTCGGTGAGAGAGGGGACACTGCGACTTCACATCAGAAAAAGTACTTGTTTCCTTCAGGAACAAGATCTTGCAAAACATTTGGACAGTGTCCACTCCATGAATCTAGTAGGAGAACGCTTCGGGATCCCACGTTTGTTAAAAATATTTCAGTAAACAAAGCTTTAAAGTGCTCTGAAGTTAATTTGCCAGATTTTGAAGCAGAAACATTGTTCAGTATCGGAGCAAGCGAGAGCGAGCTATCCTCGAAGCCAACGGTTTGTTGTCATTCTCCGTCTTTCGCTCTCCTTTCAGAACGTGCGAGAATCGGAAACTCCTTTTCTTCGCGTTCTGGAAGGATCGAGAGCAACTGGTTAATCCAAATTGGATTAACGTGAGCCGATTATTGGGTCTTGTTGACGCACCGACCAAATGTCAAGCGCTAATTGGCTCGTGACGTCACGGCGCCGGTTACCGCTCCCGCAGCTTCGAGGATCGTTCCGCACTCGCGAATTTTAATCATCCGAAGCGAGAAGAACATAGACGCGAGTCCAAAATTCATACCGATTTTCCGAACACTAAGTGCACCGAGTCCGATTTTGACCATTTCGTTCCGTGTCGTCCGTTTCTCGTTTTTCGTCGCGTCTCGTTGTTCTGTGTATTCGTGTTCGTTGTCGTGCGTGATCCGGTTGTGAATTCATTGTATCGTTGACGGTAACATTAAACGTGGCTGGACTCCAGCCGAAAAGGAAACCGAGTCAGGAATTTTCTCGACCCCTATACCATTCCGATACAAACATGAACATTTGGAGCATTGAATAAACTTTCTTTACTCTTGGTCCGAACTGTCCGCTTGATTCCTTTAAAATTATATAAAGCGGTGAAAGCAATTTTCCATTTGCAGATACAGTAGGTTGTATGGTATAACTATGAATGGTTGATGATATGGACTGTACGACAGCTTCAATGGTTTTTGATCCCTTTGCAGCTAGCGTTCGACCAGAATGAAGTTCTAAATTAGAACCACTTTCGTCCGAATTAAATACATTTTCTATACTATAACTATTAATATTCGGTTTCACAACTTGAATAAAATTATCGATAACTGTATCTATTTTGTAACGGGGTCGGTTGGTTCGGTGCGCACTGCGTTGCGCACCGCGGCGGTTTCACCGTGCCAGGGTTCGCAAGGGAACAGGTCGGTAAATAACGAGGCGGATACATTAGAAAAATATATATATGTTTATTGAAGAAAGGAACTATCGTTGACTACAGTGTAGGGCCACGGTCTATCCCCGCCGTGCCGGTCCGGCGGCGTATTCCTGCCTCGACAACTACAAACAGAAGACGCGCTGGTTGTTAGACGCGTGGAGCCAATACTTAAGACTAATGTACAGGACTTACTAGCTACGGTCGGAACCTGGTCCGTCACAGAAAGTCACGCGGCTTAAATCTAGCGCGGTTCGCAGCCGTTGCTACGCGGTCTTACAATCTAACGGCGCAATGTCGGAGCGCGGGGTGAAAGCGCTGAGCGGAGCGCGAACGCAAGAGAACGCAAACGCAGACGCAGACGCAGACGCAGACGCAGACGCAGACGCAGACGCAAACGCAAAGTCGGGAGAGGATTGGCCCGACGGTGATTTGTTGAATCGCGCTGCGGTGTTTCGCGCTGCGGTAGAGTTGCTGCCCGCTTGCCTCACGCGGCTCGTCTTCTCGTACGCCGAGGTAGAACCGAACAGCGAACGAGACGACGACCAATCCTGGCCAGCATGAGTAGCGCCACGAAGCTGGACGGAATCGGCTGCCAAAGGCAAAATGCGGTGCCGGGTAGGCCAACGTTCGGAATCCCCGTGGAAGCACCGGCAGAGATTATGAACGCGCACTAGCTTGGTGACCCCGGGACTGACGAGGCTAGGCGCCTACGGCCGCTGGACCTATGGGAGCTGCCAGGTCGTAGCATAGTGAATTTCTACGGCCCGTCGGCCATAGATCTCTTCGCCAGGTCAGCCATGGCGTCGAGAGCTCTGGTGCTCCGGTCCGGACCTCCTAGGAGGTCCCCTCGGGGCCGAAGCCCCGAGGCAACTCATCGATCCGCGCATCGATCGGTCCTACTTATAGTCTACTCGCACGGGAGTGGGGATGCCGCCGCGGTGGGGGCCCGCGATGCGCGACGCCGATCCGCGGCTGTCGTTGCAATTTCTTGAGAATTTTCACGTTCCCGGTAAGTTACAAATTTTGTTATTCTACGCGAAATTATTCCATACAGCTTTTTATATTTAAATATCCACCACTTTCCTGCTTTAAATGTTGGCAAATCAATGTTTTCTTTTGCTTCTAATGCCTATTTTCGAATATCAATATCATGGATTACGGATCCACTTTCAAGAGCATCACGAAACATCGAAAGAGTAAAATCCGAATTTTTGAACGTGTTTCGGGAATAACGTGTTTACCTTTTTAAAAAATATCATGCGCCTACAATAAATGGCTTGTTATTACGATTGTATCTAAATGCAAATATGTTGTGAAACGTATATAGGTTCTATCAACATCGCAAGTACTATAAGTCGAGTTAGCGATCAATACAGACAAATCAAACAACTAAAATCAAAAATTCCATCGGAATAATCAAAACAACTATACACTATAATACATCGTTGAATTTATAATAAATAGGCCCTTTTATTGATTGAAAAAAAAGTAAAGATTTTCAAAACGCAGGGGGAGGGAGAATTCAATTTTGCAAAAAGGATGATTTAAAATAAAAACTTACACGCAGCTTTATAGACCTCAAGAAACGATATAACTTTTATTTCAACTATTTTTTTTATATCTTTTGTTGTTTACGATTTATAAGCACGTATATAGGAACGGCGGTTCGGATAAACGGGTTGATATCTCCCTCAAAGTGAAAAACGGGCACCAACGGATTACGGTTATCTTCATAAACAGGTTTAGTAAATATTTATGCAAAGTTTCATCAAAATCGGAGTATATCAGTTCCCGTTGTTGCCTTGTAAGTCGGATTGTCAAGACACTGGACATCTCGTTTCTTATACTGTTTTCTTAAAAAATACAAGAATGTTTCGTACAAGCCTCAACATAAAATCCACATACAAATTAAATTCACTACCAAATTTAATATTTTTGACCACGTATGTAATCATATACTTCAGCGTGCATACGCATTCAAATAGCATAGGAATTTAAATGGACGAATAATACCACCATCTGCCGGCTCCCAAAAGCAATGATTTTAAAACATATGGCGTCCAAATGGTACGAATCCAAATGGCACGACGTCCAAACGGCACGGCGTCCAAACGGCTCGACTTCCAAAAGGAACGCGTCCAAAAGAAACGCGTCCAAGCAGGACCGTCCAATCGGGACGCGTCCAATTGGTCGGCGTCCAAGTGGGCATCACTCGTGGTGCTTCGTGCTCCTTCTTCTCATTCCCCTTTTCCTTTATCGGCGCCGCAGTGACCACTGGCGACGCCTCGGCTATAGCTGGGAGAATCCTTCTTTCCCCGGGGCGCCCTGTAGCGGGGAACGCTAAGATGGTAGTTCCGTCCCCCCTCCTCTTCTCTTGTGTTGACCCAGGCGAAAGGGTTTTCGCCCGGGTACTCCTACTCGTCACAGGGCGCTCCTCCGGTGTTGTGGGAGTGGCCGTGTCGCTCACCGTCTCAGGGCCCATATCCGCTGGGGGGCTCGGGGGCTCGGTGGTTGCCCTGGCAGCCTGCGCCCTGGTCGTCGTCGCAGATTCCAGGAGCACCGTGTCTTCCTGGATCTTTTTCTTCAGCCCACTCGGCGAGATTCCCCCCCCCCCCCCACTTCTTCTTGTAGCGACGGTGACGACGGCCACCGGCTTGCTATAGATCGAGGTCGTCGTTAAGGTCAATGTCCTCGCCGTCGCGAAGGTGCACGGCACCGTCACTGGCATGGTGGAGGGCGTTTGGGTGGTAGATGCACCCCCATCTCTGTCGTTTCTCGGCACAGGCGGGAGGGAGGTCGCCCGTGCCATCCTCCTCGTCGTCATAGTTGTGGTGACGGTCGACGTGCCTCTGGTTAGTTCAACGTAGGTGACGGCGGGGGTCACCTTCCTGGCTGCTGTCCGTTGGGGCAGGCCAGGTTGAGGAGGCACCGTCGTAGCCTGGGTGCTCCTTCTCTTCGTCCCCGGGCTTCTCTCCTTTTCCTTTACGGGAGGGGTCAAGGTGGTGGATGCACCCCCGCTCGGCCTCCTCATTGGCACTGACCCGCCGCTGGTCCTCTTGGCGGCGCCGGTCCCCGCTGGAGGTGTGGTAAGATCCACGGTCGGCGGGGTGACGGGACCCCCCGTGGATGGAGGTCGTCCATCAGCGGTGCTGGACGGCGTCCCGCTCTTTCTTGTTGTCGTTGTTGTTATTGTCGCTGCCGCTATTTTCTTAATGGGCCAGCCCGTCAGTAGATTCCTCCCCGTCACCGAGGAAGTGATGACCGGTTTCCTCTTCGGCGCACTGCTTGGTTTGGCAGCCACCGTGGTCCGGGAGTTGGCTGAGGCAGTAGATTTCTTGGCGCGCGCGAGCGCGCCTCCACGCGTGGTGGGTGCCGCCGCTTCCAGTGGGGACGGAGAGGGCCTCTGCGTCGTCTCGGGCAAGGCCACGTCAAAAGAGGGTCGCTCCTCGGCTGAGTCCCCCCCCAGCCGAGGGTGCACCGCTGCTCACCCTTCCCGCGGGGGCAGATGTCCGCGTCCCAGCGGCACGAGGCACTGCACAATTTGCATGGGAGTCTACGTGGTGCTTCTCACCTTCCTCAGCGCATAAGCACTGTCGTCGGTGAAGAAGCACACTCCGCAGACCCACCTCCTTCTAGCGCCATGGTGGTGGATGCGCAGGTGTTTGCCTAAATCCTAGTGCCGCTGGTACACGGCCACCTTCATTCTAGATGGGGGTGTCCCCTCATTGCGGAAGGGGCACAGGAAGGTTTCAGGAGGGGGGAAGCTAATGATAACTTCGTTGCATCGAGCGGTGCAACTCGGCTGGGGGTTCGTCGTCATACTCATATTGAAATAAACAGTAAAATAAATAGCTAGATAAATAAAATATATAGGACAGTCAATAAAATAAAACAACGAATCCTGATACAAAATGTAGCGACTCCCCAGTCAATAGTTAAAGCCTAGCTAACAAATAAATAGGTAAAATAAACAAAAGGAAGAAAATAAAATATAATGAAGAGAGAAGAAAAGAAAATAAAGTCAGAAAAAAAGAGTGAAATTAAAGTATATACCTAGACAATAGGTATATACGTCACGGAAGTAAAATAAGAAGGAATAGAATAGATAAGTCAAGATAGTAGAATAAAATAAAATATAATAAATACAATAAGATAAAATATAAAATAATTTTCAACAAAAAACAAATCCGACTTCGAAATGCACTAAAAAGTGTCAAATAATTTCTATTTCATTTATACCAATATTCCATAGCTATTAATAATATCTACTTAATCGTTAAATAGGATACCAAATACATTTCAAACCTTTCGGAGGCGGCGCAAAATTAAAAACACCCGAATATACGATGCTGCCAATAACGATTTGACTGCGCTATGGCAAACCTGGTAATTAATAAGTCGTAACAAAACAATTCGAAACGTTATAGATACGGCAGAAAACATTTGTATTTGTAACGATTGTATCAGAAGTTGGTAGCACTTCTGATGTACATGTATTCTGCAATTCTCGAGAGATCACACTTAATTCGCGCAGCTCACTAGGTCTAGGGACATTTTTAATAACGTGTGTCATTCCTCTCTTCAGCTTGCTTTTTACTTTGCGATCATTTCAATGGTGGATAGAAATATATGACGTATGATAACTGATACACGATGAGGGTATGGTAAAGATACACGATACAATGAAATTTCTATTATTTTTCAAAGAAAATATTATATCACACACGTCATTAAAAATGTCCCAAAACCTACTCAGCTGCGCGAGTTAAGTATGGTCTCTCGTGAACTGCAGTATAGTTAATCCGCAATGGGTATGTTGATTCCCGTTGAATGTTGTTTACTTGAAATTATCAAATGGGTCATTTGTCATATGTTGCCGACCCCTGAACTAAGATCTTCCTAGTAAAAGAAAAGTTTATAATTTTGCGCCGCCTCCGAAAACTTTGAAATGTGTTTGGTATCCTATTTAACGATTGAATAGATATTATTAATAGGCATGGAATATTGGTATAAATGAAATAGAAATTATTTGACATTGTTACGTCGCGAGCGAGATACGGCGCGCGACGTACAAAATAAAAAAAAAGGAAATTAATAGGAGAAAATTAATGATGGTTAGCGCTCCTCCGTGAGAACGGTATTAGCGCTGCCACCAGTCCTAATCGCTCGTGGCGATGTTGGATCACTCACGATTAGAACAATAAAAGAGTTGTTAAATAAGTTAATAATTAATTTAGAGATTAATCGGGTTCGTCAATGCTCTAGTCCCATACGGCCCCCTCGTGTAAATTTGTACGAAGATGGTAGGCGTGAAAATGAAGTAAAGGAAGTGTTTGAAACGTAAATGAATTAAAACTGGTTAGGTGTAACAAAAATATAATTTCAGAAAAATAAACGTGACATTAAAGGTGGTTGGTTAACAAAAAATACGAGCTGTTGAAATACAAGAGAAAATAAATATATTATAAAGAAGAAGCTATTGATTATTGGTTAATTAAAGTTTGATTGATTGAATGATTCGATGATTCGAGCGACGATGTTCTGTGAAGAATTAAGCGCGAAAAAGAAAGAAAGAATGGTCCCAGAGGGTAAATTACCAGAGCCGCGGTTTGGTGGGGCCGTCTTCTTTGCGTGTGAATCGGAATTTATTCAATAACGTTAATTTTCGATACCTTGAGTCTCTATACTGAACGGAACGATCTAGAGGAAAACTTTCCAGAATACACGGTTTCGTAGATCGCCCGTTTTGCCTCACCACGTCCAGATTCGTCGCATTGGATAAAAATGAAATGGACAACTTACCAAGATCGATGTAAAATAATATATGATAAGACTTTGATTTGTATGGTTAGTCGCTGGTGTCGTCTAGAAATCAGGAAACCAAAGAAGAGGTGAGAAAACTGCCACTTGCACTACGCGTTCGCGATCGGCCTTTTATTTCGGTGTTACGGGACGATTAATTACGATACGAATACAAAACTATTTGCAAAACGACGCGACGCGGAAAAGGAAAAATAATTAATATACGAACGATATAAAAACGAAAGAGAAAAGATAGAAATTGAAAAGTGTGAAATGAATTTAACGTATCCGTATGAGTCCTTGTCACAAAACCGCGAACCGAAACACTCTCGACACTCTGCCTTGAGGAGGACTTGTCGAGCAATCTAATTACGCGATTTTTCTAACAACTCTATCTCTACGCGAACACGGGCTCCCCGTCACGCACCTTGCGATTTTTCGACGAAGAGTGCTTTGCCTCAGTCAAGCGATCGTGTCTCAGGGTTCGACCCGCGATCATGGGCCCAAAGTGGGGACATCATTTGGCAAATCAGGGTATGTGTCGGAAGGGAAATCCCGCGCGTATTGGGCTAGTTGGCCGCTCTTCCTAGTTCTCTCATCCCTTCTTGACTTTTCTTTCTACCTTCGTCTAAGGTTGTCCATTTCTTTCTACCCCTCTAACGCTACGCGGATTTCATGCGTCGCAATTCTAAAGTTTCTGGAATATTCGAAATCTATTACGACTTAATTTATTCGAATTTGCTAATTAAAGAGGCTTTTAGGATATTTGATTTACTGTTTTGAATGACTATTAATTGAATAATGTTAATTGTTATTCATTCGTTAATTATTCTGTTAATCTCTTTTTAGCGGTTTGCGCAAGATGCAACCGGTGTTTTATAATCGTGGATACATGCGTGTTGCATTTAGTTAGTATTCGTTCCGCGCTTATTAGTTATTAACGTTGTTATTCGTATTTTGACGATTTACGTATATTCGAAACGTTGTACGTTTAACGTTTAACGACGTTTATTGTCTCGATCGACCCTTTGTCTCGAACATTCGTGAACAATTTCGAACTACAGCGGTTGTCACGCAAACCCTCGCATTCCAATATCATTCAAACAGTTTCATTTCGTTCAATTCCAATCACTTTCGTTCTTAATTGCATTCATTCTTTGGTGGAAGGACCGGCTGACGCATACTTTGCAGGTATGAGTGGTACCTCGCTAATAGAATAGAAGAAAATTCTTCTTTATGTTGCACGGTTAACTTGGGAAATTTCCAAGTGCGTCGCACTGCTTAACCGCGCGGCGAAGGATGTTTATGATACCTCTCCCTAAACGGTTTCGACTTTCGAAGTTTTTGTCGCTGCGTAGTTTCGACTAGGCAATCATCCCAAGGAAAGGTTGACTCGTATTATTTAAAAGATCTAAATATAGCCTCCTTTGTGTGCCCCGCCTAGGATTATCGCCAAGTACGACGAGGTACACAAATTCAGTATATTAAACGATTAAACTATTCAACACTATCAGTAAGAAGATGAAAATAAATGTTAGCCACAGCCGGATTATTGAAAATAATCCGGACGTAACAACACTTTTTAGTGCATTTCGAAGTCGGATTTGTTTTTTGTTAAAAATTATTTTATTCCACACTTTTTAGTGGAACCTGTAGTATTTGTAGGATAGTGTAAGGTGATTTTGGGTTTGTGTTGCTTAGCTAATAACCATAAACCGAAAAAATATTGACCAAATTTAAATGGTTAATAAACAACAAATTTCATAAATTTTTGCAAGTGGGATCATCGCGGGTATACAGAGTGTCACGCGACTACCTTTACAGCCGAAGAGGGATGATTGCTAAGGTGATTCTAAACAACTTTTTTCTTTTCCAAAATGTTGGTTAAGGCTTGTTTTTCTAGTTATTAACAAAAAACACTGACAGCGCGCGGGCTCAAGGACTGCAATGTCGGCTATGAAAACCGGGCCTGACGTAGGTCGCGAACGAACGGCTCGGCACCCCGTTGACATAGCACAATAAAAAAATTGAACTGGTAGATCATTTTTAGTCGTTGTTTAAAATGAATGCGGAACCTAATCTCTTATCGCCTATCATAATGTAAAAAATGAAATTCTAAGCATTCTAAACAACAAATGAAAATAATTGAAATGGAATAATTAATAAACGATTGAATTGGAAGCCACGTTTGAAAACAATTTAAACAAAACTTTCGCATTCGTTCCTAAATTAGCTTACTACGCTGAAAGCAGATAATTGTCACTGGGAAACGAGGAAACACGTTCGGTAGAACAGCAGTTTTCATGATCGGGCCAGTGAACTCCCCTCATTTATTGCACTTAGGAATGAATAATAGGCGAGGTGTTTCCTCGTCGAATGTCCAGAATCGACACAGTGACCTAGTGGGAATTATTTGCTTTCAGCGTAGCAAGTTAATTTAGAAACGAATGGGTAAGTTTCATTTAAATTGTTTTCAAATTTTGCATCATTGTCATAGCCTCCAATTCAAACGTTTATTAATTATACCACTTCAAACATTTTTATTTGTTGTTTAGAATCCTTAGAATTTCCTTTTTTACATTATGACAGACGACAAGAGAT